TATTAGTTTTATTAGGCAAATCGGAAACCTAAATAAAGGCAGTTAACAGAATTAAATTTGTAGAAAGTTAGTAGAGTGAAGAAACGAAGACATAATAGCTTGTAGAACAAGACATGTAGCAGAAGATGGAGAAGAAGATCTTCTTCACTGAAGAAGCCAGTTTGTGCTAGAGGATGATCGAGAGAGCGTATGAATAGGATAAAGAGGGAAATACGTAGAAGATATAGAAAGTTACAAGAAGATAACGCGGAGGATTGAGAAGAAAAAAAGAGGCAGAAGATAAACTGAATTGACCCGCACAGGTGAGAAAGAAGATTATTAGCTGATCAAAAGCATAAACAAGCCTTCACCTGACGAACACAGAAACGTGACGTCGAGTTAAGAAGAGCTTTGATCTCGAAAATGAAAAACACATTCAATTATGTGGAAAATTCGATGATTTCTGGTGAAAAAAATAAGCGTTCAATCACTATGTGATCAGGAAGTTTACTCGAAAAAATTTAATTTTATTGTGAAGATAGATGTATTAGTCACTGTTGACATTTAATTACAATTATATCAGTTTGATCATATCAAAACTGGCAGTATATGTCCAAAGTAAAAAAAAACAAGAAAATAGTCGACGAGAGGTGATCGTTAGTGAAATACAAAAAAAGTAGCCAATCCTGATGCTAAACTAATCAGTTCATTTAGAAGGGCAGGTTTAAACTGCCATCACCGAATGCTCGATCACTGGAAATAAGACAGAACGTTTACAACTAACTAAGGTGTTCTTAGCGGACTCTAGACTGAATGATGTGAGAACACAGAAAACCAAACAGAATGACATAAATAGTAGACGAACTATCAAAACCTATGCATGCACATTGGAAGACTTCTTTGAGAATATAGTGGTGTTGCTGGAAGAAATAACTTTCCGAAAGATTTAAAGAAAAAAAAAGTTTTAAAAAAGAAAAACATATTTCAAATGTATGCTCTTTTTATATTCTCAAGTGGGTTCGTCTAACAATATATTCTAAGGCTATAATGCCATAATATGCCCCAATTTCAATTATTTCTCAACTTCACTCTATACATAGAACACAACGCAAAAATGACAAAGCAAAAGATATTCTTCATACTTTACCGAATTCAATGCGAAGCGAAAGATTTTAGAACAAGGAAACACACTATTAGCCACTTCACAGAAAAATCTAAGCTTTTCAAACAACATCTGGCTCATAACATATGTATTCGCACATTTTACTATAACTTAGAGAATCCTGCAACATTTTCTTTCGGACTCGGATGTCCAGAAAGAACCATATTCCACGTAAAACGTGAGAAGCAACATACGATTTCATTCACGAACGGAGAAGACGCACAGAATGGTTGGTTGCAATGAAGCACAAAAATCTAATAAAAGAAAACAGAAAACGTATGTCTTGTAAATTCAATACAACGTCAGTTAGTTAACAGCATGAAACGAGACATGAAAAATATCCAGAGATGCATAGAGACAAGTGGGAAATGACTGTGATTGTGTTTTGTGTTCTTAGTTCCTTGCATACAGAACTGGATTTTGGTTTTCAAGCTGCCCCAGTGCGTTTCTTTCACTTTCTTAAGCCATGTTCCTCTTTTTTACACACTATTCAACTAGCGTGTATGCCAGAGCGTTTCTATAGTCAACAAGAAATTGAAATATTTTCAACAAAACTAAGCTTACAAACGGAAATGGATGATAACAAATTTTCAGAAGAAAAAACGAATCTTACGGAGTTCTGCAAATCTTGACAGAGAACTAAGCTATTAACTTAAATAGCGTCAGATAGTTCAAAGAAACATTAAAAGTTTAATGGCGTATCGGGAAAAGAAACAGAAGTAGCGTAGTGCTGCAGCCGAGGGTATTCTAAAATCGTAGAAAGCCAACTTGAATTTACAATCATTTACATTAAACATGCGAAAGTATTACATTCCAACAAGTAACAGATGGTAAAGCACACATGACAAAGCTCAAAAAATAAAGTCCATCTGGATGCAACTATTCCCTCAAAAAGTGATAAGAAATAATAGTTTTGGGATAAAGGGCGGGAAACTTGTCGAGATCGTTGGACCAATTGGTCATTCAACTGATTTTACAACTATTTAGGGAATCAATCAGTTCTTTGCAAAAACATTTGTACGAAGAATTAGAAATTAGAGGTCGTGAACCATTACAAATTCTTCTTCTAATGTAGAAGTAGTAAGCATTGCATTAGTTTCTGGTATTGAGTCTTCTTAATATTCCTTTCTTGGTAAATACAGAAGAACAAACAAATATAATCAGAGTAAACTGAAAAAGCATAATGGGGGAAGCATTCTAGGCAGTTTTGAACAAGAGAATCAAATGACAGACAAAGATTTGATTTGTTACTAATTGGATTTATTAATAACATGTATTTGTCTTGCAATCTCATCTGCTAAAAGAATTTTCGTAGAGACAAAGATATGTGAAGCATAAGAGAGGCTTGTAGAAGATCGAATTGCTCGAAGTTTGAAAGCGCTAACGATCTTCTCGCATCATAACTTCTTTGCTTACAGAGCTCTTCTTCATATTACGTAGATGACGATGACAAGTATTGATGTCACTAATCTTCTGCAAAATATCTTCAACTCCTCCAGTTTCCAGAAGTTAGATACTCCAAATCTTGCTGAGCTTCTATAGAATTGCAATCCCATGAAAAAACAAACAGATTCACTCTAAAGTTAGTGAGCTCTTATGAGCTTTTTTTTCGTTTGCGATAGTTCTCCGTCCAAACAACAAAGTGTTCAGCAACGGTAACAAGATATTATAAAAGGTCGTTAATTCCTTTAAAACTTTTATTGTCAATTTAAAAAAATAAGTTATATCCCATTCATATACAACTGAGTTACCGTCAAATAAACATCACTTCACAGACAAATTGGAGAAGGACAAGCATCTCAAATGACAACGAGGCTGGCCGAAGGAGTTAAGCCTGAAATTTAAATTATAAACTTTTAAACAATTATTTTTCACCTAGATTCTTCAGAGGAGCATTGTAATCTTCAGAAGAAAAAGTTTTTCGAGGGAATGGAGTCATGAAATTGACTTCAGCACCCGCAGAATGGTTTAACTGTACCCATAAACGAACAGCAGAAAGCTGAACACATTATTTAATTTTAACTCATCCGAAAGAAAACTGACCGGCTCCGCAGCTCCGAATGTGTTGCGAACACACTTTCCATCTTTCAGACGTACCTACAGTTACATTTTACTGACAACCAGAACGTTTATATCACACCTGAATGGTTGCTTGATTGTAATCAACTTTTGGTGGGGGGTTAGGATTGACGGTTGCTACTGGCTCAGCAGGACGAATACCAGAAGCTCTTGCGGCACGCTCTTCCTGAGAAATAGATGAAACCAGCTCTAACTAGTAACTTCACCTTGTCCAATCGAATTTGTTCAATAACACGCTGTCTGGCTCTTTCGGTCTCTTCTTTTTCCTTTCTGCGAGCCTCAACTATCTCTCTGAAAATATAAAATAGATGGATCTCAAGTTTTACATGCTTCATATAGAGTTAGAAGAAACAAAATTCAGTTATCATTTCGAATCAAAACAAATATCAGACCGGTTGTGTTCCACAAACCTAGTATCTATCTCCTTTCTTTTCTCTCTCATTTCAGCCATTTTCTTTCCTTCTTCAATTCTTTTTTTCTCTCGATCGATCTGAAACAAAGAAAAAGAGTATGAACTCTGGAATTATTTTTTTTTACCGCTTCTTGGCGTTCAACTTCAGCTTTAGCAGCTTGTGCTTCACGGATTCTTTGCCTCAATTCAGTTGCCTTCTGCTTTCTTTCCTCTTCAGTTAATGGTTTAATCTCCTGAGTTGGCTTTTTAGATTTGTTTTCCAATAGTGATATACCTCTGTGCTCTCAGAGAAGTTTTCATGTTTACTTTTGGCAGCATGGAACATCATAGCATTCTCATCTCGGAAAAGTTTGTTACAACTGAAGCATACGTTAATCACATAAAAACACAATTTTTCCTTCAACTGACTCGTTACATTTATAAGAACCCGGAGTTTGTTCCGTAATAGGCTCTTCTGCACCTGTAGGAATTCCAGGAGCTGAGTTCGCAGCGGCTGGAGCATCTGACGCCGGAGCGGGAATTGAACTTAGATCTTCGCCATCATGAGCTAAGAGCCACTCCATAGCCTATATAAAACATCAGCGACCACAAACTTATCCTAATATTACCTCTTCCAGACTTGATTTGGTCACTTCAAAAGCCTTTTCAGCTTTACTTTTATCAAATCCCATATCAACGAGTTGATCAACAACAGACATCTTTATCTGTATATTTCATGTAATAATAGATAAATGGGAATATTAGGTATACTGGGATGATACACCTCAACAAGAATATTTCGTAATATAGTGTCAACATATTCATTTCACATAAATTTTGAAATAACAACTAATATTCTCATTGATATTTATGCTTTATTTCCGTAGACAACTTCGAGCCATTCAAAGGAAAACTGATGTTCATCTCAGTTCTCACGACTTATCACCTCCTGTTTGTTTACTCTTCTAGGTTCAGAGAAAAAAAACGAAACTATTTGCCCTGTTGTCCACAAATAAGCAATTAGAAACAAGTTAATTGAAAGAACTTAACAAAATATTAGAAAAGAAAAAGTTAAGAGGTAGAGACCAAGCGCGTTCTTTGCAAAACTATTGCACATTGGGTTTGTCATCATTTCTCCGATCAGCATGAAAGTTGATTAGATGCAATACGGTACGGTAACAAATGGATGCTCATGAAATTTTGAATGACACACAGATAGGAACCACATAAAATTCAGCAAAACCTACTCACCATTTTTTCTTTTTCTCTAGCTTATCGGTAGCGTCTGGAGGGACAGAACTCGAATTTGAAATTAAAGGGCGGAAATCGATGTCCATCTAGGCGCACCCGCAATTCATCCAATAAGTAGCAGGTTCATACTCTACGTATATGCTATTCAAGATATTTTCAGTTACTAAATTAGTATTCAGTAATTGAAACAAATTATTTTAACTGTAGTACAAGTTCATCCCCGAACTGGATTCGCATTCGTCATGGAACAGAATGAATCATTATTACATACCTCTAACGGATCAACCAGACGAAAACACTTTTCTTTGTGGCTATAACAGAGTAAGTATAACTTTTGAAAATAAATATAATTTCTCTCTTTAGGTTAGAAAGTACGGCACTACCGTTAGTTCAACAGAAACAAAGCCAAAGCATTTTATCATATATCAGGTTCAACCTTCAGATACCATTCAAGGAATAGCTTTAAAAAATAACTGTTCAGTAAGTAGTTTGCTTAAACCCGATTCCTTTTAATTTGATTATTCAGGTCTCCGAAATTGTTCGTATTAATAAATTGTGGTCTGTAGATTCACTTCATTTCAAAGAAACTATAAAAATTCCCGTGGTGGGCAGTCCCGATGATAATGTAATAGTTGCCGATTATTCGCCGAAGTCTTTTGAAAATCATATGAAATCTCAAATTAGGTAATACCAATAGAAACATAATCTTTACAAGTAGAGTCAAGTTATAGTAACGTTAGCAGTAATAGTGGTGTGGATATGGAAGAGGCGCCAAGTGAATCATTAAAAGATATGCTCTCCAGGATTGATGAAACTATCAAATCTACTTCCTCATCTGTGAAGAAGCTAGAAAGATCCTCAACGTAATGTGTTCATTACTGTCCCCACAATCTTCTATTTATTGTTTCAGAATTGTTAAAGAGTTCGCCGAGCAAGCTAGACCAGAGCATCATTCACTTCAAAATTTATGTAGTGGTTATTATCAACAAATATAAAGATTTTAAATAACAGTTTTATTTTCAACAATGAACAATTTACTTCTTGGCAGCGGCCTTGATGGCTTGGCGTCTCAAAGCAGCAGCGTATGGGTTGAGCTTCACCATAAGGTTGCGCTTCTTGAGTGGGTTTCTGTGGAGCTTGCGCTTCACGTTGTGGCTGACGGTTGGGCGAACGGCCTTAAGGACTTCTTCACTTTGGAGGATCTTGGAGAAATCTCCAGAGACGGTCTTATTAAGAGGAATGGACCATCCCTTCTTGGTCTGGGAGGAGTTAGCAGCAAGGGTTCCGTAGATGGCATCCAATTTCTTGAAGGCACTCTCGGTCCAGATGATGAGACGTCCAAGATGTCCTGTAACAATGCGTTTTAAAAAAATTATATAGAAGGAAACGACCTCCTGGAGCAAGCTTAAGGAGGTTAAGGCGTTCAACATTCAAAACATCGACTCCGGGAATGTTACGGAAAGCGCGAGCGCAGTCACCGTCTTGACCATAGATGACAAGTGGTCCGGTCTTTTGCTTGTATTTTCTATTACGCATCTTTCCCTTTCCAGCGCGAGTACGCTTGGAGTTGTGAACCTGAAGTATTTTAATAACTTAGCTACTTGTTTTCATCACAAACCTTCTCAATATCAGCCCAGACATGAGATCTACGAAGGAAAGAAACAGCCTCCTTGGTCTTTCTGAAGCTTTCGACATTGTCAGATACAACGAATGGGACTTCAGCGATCTTGTCGATGATATGTCCACGAGCTTGGAGGAGAGCTGGGACTCCAGAAGCAGCCAAAGCAGAGCAGACAGCGAATCGCTTCTGTCCAACATTGACGCGACGGTGCCAGCGTCTCCAGACCTTAAGTGGAGCGAACATGTGACCACCACGGCACATGTTTCCGAAAGCTCCCTGACCGGAGCGGTGGGTACCACCACCACGGACACGAGGAATACGGGCAACAGCACGTCCAGTTCCCCAGGACTCAGCAGAGTGTTGCATACCTAGATTCACAAAATAGATCTTCATTAAAAATTATAAATAACATACCGGCCTTGGTGGAAACGGCGTGAGCTTGACGCTTGTTCTTTCTGATCTGATCGTGGATGAAGCTCACAACATCGCTTCTGATTGGAGCACGGAAGACAGCTGGAAGCTTAATCTGTGTCTCAGTAGCCTCATATTTATCATTATAAACCGTTACAAGCGGACGGGCCGCCATATTACCTTAAAATGATAAAAGATAAATATCACAAATTATGCAGAGATATAAATAATGACAACGAGATGTTCGGTTTCAGATTAAAATACTATTGAAATTTATATTAAACAAAAGTCATTGAATGTGTATGAATTTAACAATATTCTAAAGAAAACGAAACACTATACAAAATTCGCATGAAAACTATTTCAAAAAAGTAGGAAATCCTCAGGTTCCCAGTTTTTCGATTTTAGCTGCGACGTTCACTGAGTATTTGACGTATAAATGAGTCTCGCTACGACCCGCTTACGGTAGACATATTTATTAAATGTTACGCGAAATTACGTCAGTGTAGAATAGAGAGGATATTGGGTGATATCAAAATGAATAATGATGATGGCTTCACCAACGTTGAACAAAGCACGCAGTCCCTCGAAAATTATGAGGATAATATGAGCAATAGTTGCGAATGGCAGCATTGCGGATCTGGATTAACAGAGCTGTTACGACAGCGACTGGCAAATTCTTTGAATGAAGAACTGGATAACTTTCGTCAATCAATGGATATGTTAACAAAGAACTGTAATGTTAGTTTGAATGACTTGAATTTTACGAGTAGTGTTACAGTGTCTCTCTGAAGCAAAGGAATCTCCACAGGAAGAGAAGTATACAGAGCTTTTAGCAGCCAAAAACCTCTCAGATCAGCTGCTCACAACGGAAGTTCTTAACGATATGCTGACATATGCATCTTTTATTCTTTTAAGCAAATTGAGTTGATGATTTTAATAAATTTTGATCTAATGATTTTGTCTTCATCACAGGTTTATTCCACAATAGTATTTAAGAAGGCATGTACTCCAATGAAGAAAAACTAAAAACTGTTCAGATGTATTATGTATGGTATTGCCAGGATCCCGATTCAGATTGCCAAACTATACTAACATCACAAAAAATATGTTTGGAGAAGAAACACTTCGAGAAAGGGGAGCTCATCCAATACTTGGCTGCGTTATGCGGACGTTATAATTGTAAGTTGGCAGAACACATCGAGGTAGAAGTAAAGTTCTGTTTAAGATTCATTACCGGATCTAAGTATACTAACATGTGCCTATGAACATTTGATTAAAGAACTAGCAAAATGCCTCGAATGCTTCAATCGAGATCAATTATTACATATTATTCAATCAATCGCTACGGATATTTCTCTACCTCTACAAATGTTCTCCGGATATGTCAAGGAGTCTGAGACTGAAACTGGTAGTATGAGAATAAGCAATTCTCATCCTCTTGATAGAAGAAAGCCTATGGATCGTCAAAAAATAAGTGTCAAAGTATCTGAAAGTCTCTTGAGTTTCCTGAACTTTCAAAATTCAGAACACCCTATGTCGACACAACCAGATGGCATTGTTGAAGTTTTTGGTTCCTAAAGTTTGTGAAGCATTATGGGTGGATGAAGAAGTTGTGAGTGCTTATGAGCAATGGCGAACTGAAAAAACTCTGAAATCTATTCCCATGTTAGTTTGGAAACTCTCGAAGATTAACACAGATATTTGAAGTAAGAATAGTTGGGCCACAACAGTTAAAACAACCCTTCATGTGTTGTCTATGGATTGGTATGCTCTAGAGCTTTCTGATGATCTGGCTAAGAAACTGGTTTTGTACTCTTTATTCTATATTGAACAGTATGTTTACAAGCACATCCATAAAAACAAAAAATTACTTAAGGATTCTAAACAAAGACGAACAAGCATCCATTTTACATTATTTCATTCTGATAAATCATAAGGCTTTGAGCGTTCTGGGTACTAGAGCTGTTGAGTGGGATCATTGTCAGCCGCTAGCCTACTTGTATGTCGGCCTAATTGAAAAAGTAATTCGAGTTCTAATTTTCTTCCAATTTTCAAACACCTCGTTATAGTATCCATATTGTTTCGAAGGTCCCAATTTTAACTATATCATGGAATTATTGTCTGGGGCACTGCCATGGTTCCCATTGAAAGAGAGGGAAAGGCTTGCTGAATATTCGGAACTTCTATGGTCTTGTATTCTATATTGTATGGAAACAATTGCCCAGGGGCCTCGTGCCTGCGAGGAAGACTCTACTCCAGAAACATCTATTCCTCTGGCTTCCCCTGAGAGCGGCGAAGGTTGTTGTTAAATGTTTTTGCAAAGATACAATGTGTATCATTAGGAAGCCCCACGGTTTCATTTAATGATGAATCGGAATGGCTGGAAACCATGTTCTATCAGTCTTCTACAGATTCTGATGGCAAAGAAGACGAACGAATGACAGAAGAGCATGATAAGGTAGGTATAAATCTAGTTCTTCGTGAATTTCTTCCTAGTTAAAAGAGCGATTGTTGGATCTTCTATCATCAACTGCACCTCATATCACCTTATGCGATGAATTGGTGGAGGCTTTATTTGAAATGGTATTATAAGTATTGTTATCGAGATATATCTATATATTGAAGTTGCAATCTTCAAATTTCTACGGAATACCACACGATATGGTTGGAAAAGTTATATCACCGTTGCTTCTGAACGCTTCACTTGAACTGAAGGTAAGATCTGAAAAACCAACTTCTTCAAAATGTATCCGATTAGAAAACTCTTGTTGACAATTGTATGCTTGAAACTGCCAAAGACCCTCTGAGCATGATGAAGTTTTTCTTCTTGTATGCCGAAGATCCAGCAACTTATGCCGATTTAGCAGTGAGGAAATGCGTGAAAAGCCTTCTGGAAGTTAAAGATGAAGAAATATTGTAAGTGTTCTCTCAATTTCATTTCATTCTTGATTGTTGTCTAGAAGCCCTCAGTTACAAAACGATGTCTTGATGCTCCGTCTTTGCCGCTTCTTGATTCCTAGACCCAAAGCTTTGACATACATCACGAAACTAATGGAACTACTCAAAGATAAAGAAAAAGCTCATGCACTTCCTCATTTTTTCGAACGTTTATTCCATTTCTTGTACGTTTTCTTTTATACATCTAGTACGATGGGTGAGTTACCGTCATGTTTTCGAAATTTCAATTATGTGTTCATAGATTTCTTACCACCAAATTTACAAATGGAAGATTTCACTCTAGAGGATTTCGGATGCTCAGAAGAGGATCTAGAAAAACTAATCAGAAGCTTTGCAAGTTTATCCAGTAAATATCCTGCGCCAACACTACCTGTGTTCAAGTTTCCATTTTTAACAAAAAAAGTTATAATTAGTTATATTTATGCAATTAATACTGTACTTTAGATTTTCGAAGAGACTGAAGATGCCCTCATTTTAACTCATATGTACAGATTGATTCCTTTTGCTTCTTCCGAATTGGGAACTTCGTTCTACCAGGTACAACTTTATCTCAACTTATGATGAACCCTGTTTTCTTCAAGACTGTGTACAGAAAATACCCTGAAATAATCAAAATGAAGGATGAATATTTCGTTCCAACATCATATCCAGCAAAGCTTGCAGCTGCACTTCTTGCTTATTCTGTAGATCAGATGGTAGTTGCTAACATTAATACAGCTCAATTCTATTTTTTTTTTCAGAAGAAAGAACTGTATTATTACAACGCTTATGATTGTGTTTTGATAACTATCTCTTATCAAATCAAAATGACGGCAGAAGTGATCAAAGCTTTAGCGGTTTTTATTGAGAGGGCTGATATCTTCTCCATGTAAGTATTGTGGCACTTAAATCATACTTCTTCGGTTCCAGAGGATATGAATCAGAAGCTAAGCATCAGGCAACCATTGACAAGCTTTGCAATGTTTTCCTCATATATAGAAATCCTGTACTTGCGGAATGTTCTCGGTTTTTATCCCAAGCTCATGAAGGGGTTGCGCATAACTTGTCGCTGAAAATTCCAAAGAATGAGAAAGCTCGTAAAGCTATTACCCATTACAGTAATGAGCGCTTCCATGTAAGTTTCAAGAAACTAATCCCTATTGTTTGATATTTTGAGATACGGAAAAGAGATTACGTTCTAATGTCTGCACAAAGTCAAAACATAGTAACTTGTTTCATGCATGCCAGGGCTGAAATTATGTACTTCCTGTTTGATATAAAGATGACTTTCGAGTGAGTTATTAAGAAGATTTTCTATACTGATTAATCTGTTTACAGGCCTCTGGGTGACGAACACATCGAGATGATCAATTTACTTGTGCAATCTTGCAGTTCAGCTCTAACTACTACTTCTGATTTCGAGCTAATCACGACTTATCTGAACAATGTTTCTTATTTATTCGGAACAGTGACCAATCTACTTGTTTAGGTGGATATCGCACCAATGGCTCATACACGTTTCATTCTCAACAATATAATGAATGGAGTTTCGGACTGTTCTCCAATTCTGGAAAACGATTTGGAAGTCAAGTAATTAAACCATCTGAGATATTTCATACTCATCATAACTTCTTCAGACCGTTAACACTAGCTTATGCCACCACCATAAGTGAGTTCTTCGTTGATGAAAGGTTTGGAGCTCATAAATGGGGACCGGTATCAGCTTGAGGGTTTTCCTCTTAATTTTGAATTTATTCAGGATGCTCTCAAAATTGTAAACGATTTTTTCGAAAAGTTTGCTGACACCCCGAATACACATAGAGCTTTTCTCCCAGCTCTGGCAACGGCATTGAAGAAGATTTTCAGCAACAAACGTATGAAAACTATCAGTCCCCTTAATAGTTTTCTCTTTTAGATTGCAAAATGGAGCTCTGTACTGTGTTACGTAACATCATCAGTTCGAAAATGCATTTGTTCCCAAAATGGGTTGAATATTCTGTATGCCCATCCGCTTTCGTTTGTGAAATTCTTCCTATTGTTAACGATCTTGTAGAGCGCCATATGGTAGTTCTCTGCATTTTGCTGAGTTCCATTTTTTCTTTCTAGGTGTCAAAAGATGATTTATCAGGACTTGTTGAACAATCTGTTGAGTTCGTATTGAAGCCAGATTTGGTCGAACAGCTTCATTCTATGTTCCCTCTCATTCTGCAGGAGTCAGATAGATTTCTTCATTCAAGGTTGAAGTTTTTGAGTGAGCCACAACCATCGAAGACTTCATCAAGTAATCTATATTTTCCAATTATCATCTTGAAATAATCATTATCAGCCGCTCCTTTCGCCTGCTATCCACTCAAGGAGGGTCAATTGATGTTTCATGATGCGCTACAACTTCTTTGTAAATATGGTAACGCAAACTCTCATATGAAGGTAGTTTTCCAATCTCATTCAAATGATAGGAACAGTTTCATGAAAAAAAGATGAAAAAAATCTGCACATGGTACATGGTTTCCATGATCCTCCATCACTCTTTTTCAGATCTTGAAGTTGGCATGCTCGAACTTGCATAGATGGTGTGGAATCCCAGAACCTCATTGCGAAGCATTAGAGGGTCAAAGAATGTTCAAAGTATCAATCAACGTATAAACCATACAGAATTATGTTTTTTAGACAGAAGAATTCTCCGTTGTCTTCCGTATGATGGTATCATCTGCACTGTTTTCCTATTTGACAGAGCTATCAGCTTATGTTCAAGATCGTTCATCTAACTCAGATGTCGACTATTCTAGCGATTCTGAATCTGTAAAGGTAACTCTAAGTTCAAGTTCTTCGAAACTCAAGCTTTCTGCAGAAAA